AAATACACAAGAGTCATACAAACCATACAAGTCAAGAGGGGAGGGGAACTCATCAACCCCAGGCCTGCCGGCACAGCCAGGTTTTGATGCCTTTCCGGAAGGCCTGGAGAGAGGTGAGGGTCCGAATCTCCATGGGGAGTTCATTCCAAAGGGCCAGAGCTGCTACAGAGAAGGCCCTCCCCCGGGTGGTAGCCAGATGGCATTGGCTTGTAGACGGAACCCAGAGGAGGCCGACCCTGTGCAATCTAACGAGTCTATGGGAGGTAATTGGCAGCAGGCGGTCTCTCAAGTACCCAGGTTCCTATTTTTCATCCCTATTGCTAAATGACTTCCTCTTTACATGCTGTTTGTTTCAAAATAACTTCTCTTTCAGTTATATTCTAATAAATCAATTTTCTGAAAGGGTTATTACTACTACGAAGGAAAAACAATTCTCAGTCTCTAATGCTATGAGTAATTGTTGGTATCGGAAATGCTGGAAACATAATTGGAAAGAGACTCATGCCTTAATAATGATGTCATGATAATTGTCTCATCGCTTAGATATTGTCCTGAATAACATTCAAATGGCAGTTGCTCAGAGAAGAAGTTGATTTAATGTAGAAATGCTTTCATAAATTAGGAAGAATGGCTTCCTATCTAAATATTTAAGTATGAAACGTCTTAATTGCAGAGCAAGCTAGTTTGATCTATTTTGGGCCAGAATGTGGTTGCTAAAAGTTGACACCTACTTGGTAGCAAATAATTAATCCATCAAGAGGTTAACATCCTAAAAAAATAGAGCAGTACTCCTTCAGAGTTTCAAATGGAGCATTCTATCTGGAGATGTCAAGAACTGAACCCATTGCCATATATTCTTCTATAATAGTATTTTTTAAAAATCACATTCTTTTTGGCATTTTGTTCCTACCAAATTCTTACCTGTCTCTGATGGTCCAGGTCAGCTTTGTTTCCAACTAGAATCATAGGGAACTCATCACGATCTTTTACTCTAAGAATTTGTCTTTGAAATTTATAAATTTCTTCAAAACTAGGAAATAAGAGAAATAAGAGAAGAAAAACTGTTAAGAACTATCCAGGCTATTAGTTCTGTCATCTCACAATCCTTAACAGAATAACAGAGTTGGAAGGGACCTTGGAGGTCTTTTAGTCCGCCCCCCTGCTCTGACAGGAAACCCTATACTATTTCAGACAAATGGTTGTCCAATCTCTTCTTTAAAACTTCCATTGTTGGAGCATTCAGAAACTTCTGGAGGCAAGTTGTTCCACTGATTGTTCTAACTGTTAGGAAATTTCTCCTTAGTTCTAGGTTGCTTCTCTCCTTAATTAGTTTCCATTGCTTCTTGTCCTGCCTCAAAACAATCTTTTTGTGGGCTGGTAAAGCTACACTCAAGAAAACTAGATCCAACATTTTCTTGTTTGAGCTCAGTTAGTCAGACATTTCTATGGATCTTTGCAGAAAAATTAATTCACTGTGTTGAAAACCAGGCCCAAATACTCCTAAGTAATCCATGTTGATTTATTCTAGCCACAGTAGATATGATAGCTCTCATGCAAACTTCCATTACCTTCCTCTATCTGTGACTGAAAATACAAGCAGAAAGCCTTCTCCAGTCCTCATATACTGTTCCCGCATAGCTCCAAATTCTTCTTGGCCTGCTGTATCTAGAACTAAAAAAAGACTGGTGAGTTTTCCTACCTAAAAATACATTTTTTACAACCTCCATGCATTAACTATAGTTTAAATTATTTTTAAAAACTAAGGTCATGTTCTCTTAAACTAAACATGTCCCCTCCCATGCCTTTCTGTTACACACTCCAATGCTTCTTTTAAATTTTGTCTCCAGATTAACTGCAATATTGAAAGTCAACAAAGAGGAAACTCCAAACAGTCAAATGTTGGGAGGTACAATAGGGGATATTTCCCTGACATACCACACATAGTTTATTTAATCTCTAAAAATTAACTCTAACATGACTTTGTGGGAAAGCAAACATGAAGCTTTCTCCATCCTATAATAATTCTACACATAGGTGGTAGAAGGTTACATGGATTTAAGTTCTGCATGTGAAGAACTATAGAAAATAATTGTAGAGGAGAAATGGAGCTAATATGCTGCTCCTTCCATGGATGTAGAGCTCTACATGCTTACAGAAACTCAAGAGAGGAACAATTAAAGAAGTGAATACAAATAATGAAAATGGATCCGGTCCTTAAATAAGCATTCCACGCCCAATACAAATTGTATAGAGGGACAAAAATGAATAAAAACTTACTGTCTAATCTTGCTGCTCTTTCGTCTATTACACATTGTTTTGTGTAGGAGTCTTCAATTGTGGGATCATAATCTGTAACGAAGTACGACTGCAGAAAAAGAAGAAGAAAAAAGAAGCACATTAAACCCCAAAGTTATTGTGAAACCATCAACCAATCCACCAGCATGACTCCAATCCTGAAGGAGAAAAGAAAATAATTTCAATACAATCCTTTATGTTCCCAATCCACTGAGCTGATCCAAAAGACTATCGTGTCCAAGAGTATCAAAAGCCATTGAGAAGACTAAAGGATGCATTTACCAGTATCTAGATCCTTCACATGAGCCATCCCTGGAAGCTAATAGATTATGGATCTAACAGGTAGTTGTCGATCCCCATGATGTGCTCCACCCGGATTGACCGCAGGTGTTTCTCCGCCCGGCTGCCCAGTGACATCACCTCGGCATGTAGTGCCTTGGAACGTGTGCCATCCTGCCGATTGATGTGGGCCTTGACCGCCACATTGTCGGTGAGGACCAGAATATGATGACCCTCGATGGAGGTCCGAAAGTGTCAAAGCGCCAGATGGATTGCCCGGAGCTCCAACCAGTTGATATTATGTCGGAGCTCCTGCTAGGACCACCGACCCTGCACCAACTGAGATCACAGGGTCGCCCCCCAGCTGAACAGACTGGCGTCCGTGGTGAGTATGAGGTGCTCCTGGTCCCTGAACTCGCACCCCTTGAGCAAGGCTGGGGACAGCCACCACTTGAGGGAGATCAGTACTTGAGGGGTGGCCTTGACCTTGGCCGGTGAGCTGCTGGTATTGACCCTCTGGAACAGCAGGAGGCACCTGGCGCACTGTGCCCACAGTACTACCTCAATGCAGGATATGAGTTTCCCAACAAGCTGGAGAGAAGGGCTATGGGAACATAATGATCCCTGCGGACCTGCTTAACAATTTTAACCAAACTGGACCTTCAATCTGGGGAGAAGAAAATCTTCCCTGAACGGGAATCTATAACAGCCCCCAAATGTAGGATCTTAGTGGACGGGATGAGAGAACTCTTTTCAAAGTTAACAGAAAAACCTAACCGTTGAAGGGTGTCTATGACTTGCAGAAGGTCCGCCCTTGTTTGACCCGGGGATGCCCCCTGGACAAGAACGTCATCTAGGTAGCAATGCAATCTAATGGGGAAACCCCTCAAGAACGCCACCACAACCACCAGCACCTTGGTGAATGACCTGAGTGCGGATGACAACCCAAAGGGCAAGGCCCTGTAATGGTGCCCCAGATAGGAGAACTGGAGGAAACACCTTTGCAGTGGGAGAATGGGGATAAACCTCCGAGAGGTCTATAAATGCCTTGTAGTCCCCCTCCCGTATGCCCGCCAATATGGACTTAAGTGAGGCCATCTTGAACTTGCGGTAAACTAGATATTGGTTCAAGAGCTTCAAGTCGAGAATAGCCCTCCAACCCCTTCGGCACAAGAAACAAGTTTGAATAGAACCCCCAACCCACCTGGTCCGAATGGACCAGTTCTATTGCACATGTTTAATAGCCTGGCACATCCGCTTGCGCTTGTCTGTTTGAGTTGGGGGAAATGTGCAGAAGTAGTTCAGGGAAATAGAGAGGAACTCTAGCCGAAGCCCGTGAGTGACCGTGCTGAACACCCAAGCATCTGAGGAAATCTCCGCCCAGGCCTCGGAGAAGAGAGCCAGGCAACCACCAATGGGTGGGGTCGGAGACAACCTATTTGCCCCGGCAACCACCTCCTCCTCGAAGGGGGGGCACTTACTCTGTTGTTGGAAATGGGTCCTATCCTTGTTGTAACTTTTCTCGGGCTGCCTCTCCGATCTGGGGAAAGAGTACCTGCTTTGTTGAGCCTCCTGCTCCTGAGGGCGATACGAGGACTTGCGGTAGAATGGGGTAGACTTCTGCTCCACCTTTTTTGCCAAAATGGGCAGCACGTTCTTATTATTCTTGTCCTCCATGAGGAGCGGGTCAAGGACAGTTCCGAAGAGAGAGCCCCCTGTGTAGTCAGCTGACGCAAGCTGCCACTTTGACTTGTTGTCCGCTTGCCAACCCCGGAGCCAAAGAAGGTGACGAGAGGTAACG